ACGTATTTTGACTGACCGTTTTGCCTTATTTTCCCTTGGAAGTTGCGTTTAGAATTATCGCTTCTATGTGTTTTAGTACTCATTTTAAAAGATGTGATTTTTCAATTTGTTAGTTATAAATTCAGGCGGAAAACCCAATCTTCTGCTTGTATTGATTGTTTTTTTTCACCTTTTTGGGGAAATTGAAACATCATACAGGATCTGAATGCCAGTACCTTGTGAATTTCTGTATATTAGATTGCAATTTCATTTGTCTTCACTAGCTTAACAGGTTGTTCAGAGCGTTGATACATTTATTTTAAGATAAGCACGGCTTCCTTTGCTGTCTTACAATATCTTTCTTGTGCTGTCTGAAGCAATGCAATATGTTCTTCAGATCTAAGGCAGAATACGAGTCAAATTTTCATAATGTTATTTAAACGCAGGCAAAAGATGTGGGGTTTGGTGCTTGAACTCTATTGTCGCAATCAATCAATTATTCTTTCTCTAAACGATTCGTTTATTTAATGGAATATTTTTTTAGTTACGGCATAAGCATTTAGGTAGTTGTTGGATGCATATTAATGTGTGAGTAAGATTCATATATAATCTTCATGCTAAGGCGATTATGCCTGCATTTTGGTAGTGAATTTAATAATTCTGGCTATTTACAGCTTAATTTGTATGGTGATTTGTGCTCAAAGGATTGCGTTACATCGCACATCTAAAAATTGGAAGATTCATAGTACTTTACTTGAAACAACTATGCCTAAATTATCATTTATTTTATTTCTCAGACGCTTCCCTAAACTCGTATATGCGAATATTTCATTTTTGATTAGCTAATTTAGTTGTGTCAGTGATTCTTTGCGGCTTATATCTATTTTATAAAGACTTGCTTATGGAGGGAATAGGTATGCTTACTTACAAAACCCTTTTGACAAATAATTTCTTTGAGGTTTATTCACTACCATTCACCAATCTCTCTTCAAATTACTTTATCAGTTAATCTATCTTCAGGCATATACACTTTTTGAGGAGAAGAGTTGTATTTAGAAATTTTCTTAAACTTTCTAGGAAATTTTCTTTAAGCATAATCTCAAAGAAAGGATCGTAATGGAATTTTAAAGCTGCCTATTATACTGATTGATGTAATCAAATTATAGAATGACTAATTACAGCAAAGTTGATTTTGTCTTTTAAAAAATAACTTTTTGATAAATCTTATGTGCCATTGTGTACGAAATTTCATCTAAATATTATATCATTGTATAAATCATGATTAACTTTCTTTACATTTACTATCCTAGTTTTTCACCTTGCCTATCGATGTTCTCTTCACAACTCTGAATCATTTATTTCACCGCGTGATACTTGAAACAAGCGCTAGTTTGATAGAAGCTATTACCCAGGTATTTAATCAGTTCTGTTTGATTTGGCCATATTTGCAAAAAAATTAATTTATCTTCTTATATGAAAAATATGACATGCCAATTAGACATACCTTTGGTTTTCGCGAAAGTGGGCTGAGTTGAAATACTTAATTTACCTTATATCGCCCCAGAACTTGATTTGCAAAGGCTTCTCCCAAGTGCCGGTTCGACATCATTTTCGCAACTCGATCTAAACGACAGGGAGGCTTTGTGGTATGTACCTGTTCCTGCCATATGATTTATGCTGCTTTCCAGCATAGGGTCGTTTACTTGTTACATTCCCAGATATTTTGCCGGCACCTTCAAAGAGAAGCGCTATCTTTGGCATAGAGTTACAAATTATCAAAATAATTCTTAAGCCTACATTCAAACTCTTATTTGGCCTCATAAAGTACTTATCAGCTCTCCATTAAGTGCGTTATTACCTTGGTGAGTTCGTGAGGTAAAAGTTCCTTATTTTTACACCTCACATGGTGAAGCATTAGCTTAAACTAAATTTAGAAAAAAGCTTGAAGGTATTGGCGTTTATAGTTTTATGAAGTAAAGGATTTTTTCTTTGATTTAACTCGTGTCAATAATAAGATATTAAGTGAATAGATTAGCAGGCATTTTATGTCCCAGAGGTTTATTAGAGGACGAGGAAGACTAATTTAAAGATATACGCTTTTCTTTTTATGATGGCTTATGTGAGCACCACCATGTATGCATGTGTAATGTGCATATCAGATTTTATTTTTGCTCAGAGTTGTGTTTTTTTAAAGGATTCACACTTCCTTTCTTGATCCCTCTAGTTAGTTTTGATAACTTTTAATCTCATTTTTGTGTTTCTTAATTTAGGATCAATTTTGACATTATTCTTAATAAAAAATCTGACATATCTTGTCATGATTATCCTTATGATAAGCGACTCTCAAGTGTATAGTTATTCTCAGGACGGTTTTTTGAGAATTATATCTCCATCACACATATATAATATATTCACGATTATTTATTTCATATATTTATAAAATATTTCTTTTTGATGCTGATTGCGCTATCATTTATATACCATGCACTTCAACGAAGCTTATTCATTCTTGCTCTTATTTGTCTTATCCTTCATTCTGAAGCTCTGGTTATTTCTTGTCGATGACTGCGTGGCTTCTGGCCATCTACCCATAGACTGTTTGGTACTTGCATGTGTAGGGCACGCCAATTTTTGGCTTTGTCAGGCAATGCAGCCCAGCCGCATGGCATTCCCTTCTCATCTCATCAACATGCATAACTATCCATCTGGAGAGATGACCTTAAATGGTCGGTCAGACAATACTACCGTGACTAATCCAAAACTTCTCGACTCGGAGACTGATAAGCATATAGGCCAATTATCGGCTCCATTAGATCTCGAGGTAAGCCCAATTGTTGCTTTTTGTTGAATTGAAACCCCAAAATTATGCTTTGGGAAGTGTGTGGAGTCATTAATTCCTTAAACCTTGCTCTGTATTTATGCCTGGATCACTTACGTTGCCTCTTCTGATTTCATCTTTTGGGCGCAGTTTTATAAGGTTTAGTAGTTGCTTTTTAAATAAGTAATTCATTGTTTAAATTTTTCCAAATGGAACTTTTTAGTAAATCATTGTTTTATTCCTATTCTTATTTTATATCCCATTTTCATGAAAGTAAAACTTTGATTTAATTAGTTAGGAGACTAACCGGATGATTTTATGTTATCTTCACAAAACCAAAGGCTTTTAAAATCCAATCGCTGTTTTCTGATCGGGTTGCATTAAAAGTAGCTAAGGAGAGGGCCAATAATTATTATGAATAAGAGTCTATTGTATGCGATCTATTGATGATCTATTATGTGAATGCTGTAGTGAATAAGTGACAGAGAAGGAGATCTAAATAGCTTACATACAAAAGGCAAGTGTATATTTGGATTTTACCAAACAAATTCAAAGTTATCATTAACTTATTGCTTGCCGAAGACACGTGGATAGACTACATATACATTTTTTTAAACGAATATGTATCATATTTGATTAGTAATATAGATAGGACATTGAAAAGCGCCAATATTTATCTCAATTCATCGTATTACAGTGATTAAGCTTTTAAACATTACGAGGTGCTGGCCAAAAAAAATTAACGAAGAAAGAAAGTTGTTTGACCTTGTTTTCGCAACTTGATTATATTGGTAGGAAGACTTAGAGGAACACAGCTTGTCCTTAGTCCATTATATGCATGCTCATTTCCAAAGTCAAACCATGGACGTGGTATATTCCCAGGCGTTTCGCCGGCATCCTCAGTGAGTTTTGCCATTCGTAACACCATATTACAACTGGTCATAGAGACAAGTGAAGCCGATCCTTTGACCAAACAATTGCTAAACATATTCGTATTAAAGTAGGGTTTCGAGACTACCATCTTATTACAATTGCTAAACAGTTATGGTATCTCTCCTTCTGCCCTGGCCTATTCACATTTCCTATATCCTTTTATCACGCCTTCACCGTCACAATTTTTTACTTGCTTAATTAAATGTGATACGATGTACTCTTTTTATCGGCTTTTATGAGAACCCTTCGCACTCCACGCTGTACTTCTCACCCTCCTTCATCCTTGGGCTGGGAATTTCGATCAGAGTATGCCATATTGTTGCGCAGTCCTCCTTCCATAGGTCTTACCACAGTCTCTCTTGCCCCGTAAGACCCATCTGCCCTCTCCCTGGTTCACATATTTTACTCGACCCCTGCCACCCCATCTGTGCCACTCGAGGCGTTAT